GACCGATGCACACCCCTATTCATGAGAGTAACCTAATAGTCTTAAAAGTTGAGTATTTATGTAAAATTTAAAATAAATTTTACGATAATACAATATTTATGATGCAATTATATTTCATCAATGAGTTCATTTTTATTTGAATTGTTCGTTAATATGTATTATATATAATATGTATTGCAATTTATGTTATTTAGAAATTTAGAATAAAATATAATTTTATATTAATGAAGAATTTGAAAAAAAAAAATTGTATTATGTAAAGGTTATAGAGTGATTATTTGCAAAAAGAAGAAATGATTTATATTATGAAATAAGAAAATAAGAATGAAATATAAATAATAATATAATATTGAGGAGAGAGAAAAAAGATTCCTTTTTAGAGTAGTAAAATAGAGAATTGAGTTGGAGTTGATTGTCTGAAAAAATAGAGAAATCTATATTTGGAGAGTAAAAATAGAGGATTGGATTGGAGATGCCCTTATAACCCCAAAAACTACATCAGACAATAAAAACAGATTAAAAAGAGACATTGTTATAGAGCGATAATATATATTAGTAATTATTAGGATGTAAATTTTATTTTTATTTAAATTAGGTGAATTTCTTAATATAAATATAAAGTTTGAATCAACGTTTTCTAGATTCAGTGGAACCTTACATTGACGTCTAACTCTTCCCGTGAGGTTGTTACATTATATTATATAATTAAATTAATAGATATTCTCACTTTAATTTATTATTTAACCATGATAAACCCATGTGATTTTGACGTAATTAAGTACGTACCAGGTGCAGCAAGTACATTTTTTCCCTCCCGCGTACAATTTAGTAAATTTCTTATTTATCAAGTAAAACAAGTGACGAAATAAACAAAAACTTGTCCGTTCAATTTTACTTGTTTATTTTGAATTTTTCACGCTCTTTAAAAAACAACGATTAGTATGTAAGTATTTTATCATAGACGTTTAATATTAGATCTTAAAAAATAATTTGAGAATAAGTAATGAATACTAAGGGTAAATCATGGGAAAGATTTTTTTTTTTTAATATGTTAAAGAAATAAGTAAAAGTGAATGTTTTTTTCCGAATACTGGGCAAGTAAAATAGTACACTTAGAGAGTATTGTATCATAAGCAACGAGGGAAAAAAATCCCCATGAGAACTATAATAAGGTCACACTAATTAGAAAAATATTAATTCAACGAGACGTACAAACACTAATAGCGCAAGCCGCGCTATTTAATTCCAACAACGAAAAATCGAAAATAAATTAATTAACCCCATGGGCAATGTGGGAACAAATGAAAAATGTAGAAGCAAACTCAACTAATTAAAAGTCATTTAGGGACAAATAAATCCCTTTGGAGCCTCCTTGCTACAAACATTAAGAAGTAAGCTTAGTGAAATAGGGATATTAAGGTTAATCCCCAAAATATTAGCCTTAAGTGCAGTGCAAAGACAAACAGCAGCTTCCAAATCCACAAGATTTCCAATAAGACTACAACATGGTTTTACAGGTGGAGTTCCAAGTGTTACATTTAATAAACCATTAAGCACATTAGCACAAATACCTAATTTTAAGGCATCTTTTGGGCATTTGGTTTGAGAATTAGGAGATGGACTTGGTGTTGGTGTTGGCTTTGGATTTGGTTTAATTGGGCCAGGGCAAGTGTAGCATGCACTAACCATAGTGAAAAAAAGAACATTGAATACAAGAAAAAGGGCAAGTGACTTAGCCATTTTGCAATTGATTTAATTTGCTATTTAGAGGAATGATGAAGAATGTATTAATATGGTTGGATTTTTATAGGGTTCATGTATAAGGAAAGGAGATTAAAATAATAGCAAGAAAAACATTTTTTTAACCATGTGTAAGTCAGGAATTTAACCAACATGGATTGTAATGGAACGATTGAAATTCCTTCACTAGAAGTGGATGTAACACTTTGTTATCGGATTCATCTATCTATCTGAATCCAATACTTTTGATTGTGATGTAAATGATTTATGAGTAAAGATTAATGAATTTTTTAATAAATAGTAAATATGAACTGATATAATGAGTTCAAATTAAAGATAAAAACTTTAAATGCTGAACCAACAAAACTTTTATCCTGGATGCGTCAGCTCCATCCTTATTTAGAGATCTTAGGTTCGAGTCTCAGAAAATGCAATATCGGTACCCCGGGGCAACCTTCCCTCATTCACTCAATCCAACTCAATGCACAAACTCAAATTTAGTCATGCCCCAATACAAATATCAAATACCAGCGGGAACCAAAACAAAAAAAGGTCAGGAATTTAGGCTGGCTAAGAATTAGTGTAGCATATTTTTGTACATCTTGGAAGCATCAAGGCACATGTGAAGAAGGAAAACAAGTTGCCATGTTCCTCTTGCTGAGTTCCAAAATCTAGGAATTTTATTTGTTTTTTTTTCTAGCCCGTGATTTTTGCCCAGAATGCCATGGTACTTGATTAGTGTCTTTTTATTTTTTATTTTTAGTGTTAATGATTTATTTTATGTACTTTTTAAAAAACTAAAAATAAAAAATGGGCGAAGGATGGAAGAGGAGATTACAAGATAGGGAATAGAATGCTCACTAACGTGTCTTTTAACATGTTTTAGTAGGTAACTTACCTTAATTTCCTAGTTAATAATTTATCTCATTTGATAAAAAAATATTTATGCAGGATGTTTATATCAAATTAATAGATATATGTCATATGTTTGTATATATTTTTAATAAATAAATATTATCTCATTCAATTACTTAACTATGATAAATTGATACTATTTGGTGTAAACAACCGATGGATAAGTTTTTACTATCTCTTTTTACCGACGGTTACATATAAAATTATCCAAGTGATCTAATAACGTAAAACCATTTACACTAATAAAGTATATGAACTATACTCAATTAGTAATATGCTTTGAAAATATTGGGCATCTAATTTTTTCTTTTTAATAACCCCAAAAATTCATGCAAAAAAAAGAAGAAACTTGATGCTAAATTTCAGATACGATTATTATTTGTATAAATTTTAGGAATCACATAGTTTTAATATGAAATTACAATATGTCCCTATTTAGTTTGTAATTATATTAATTCCTGAAAAAGTAAAACAAACCGGATACATAATATGTAGCTCGGATACATTAAAAACTAGCTCGGATACATGATAAAATAAATCGAATACATAATATGTAGCTCGGATACATTATAAAATAATTTAGAATTGGGAAAGAAATAAGAGATTTTAGAGGTTTTTAGAAATAGAAGGAAATATTAGAAATAAGGGAAACATAAGATGTGTATTTCAGTAATTTTTCCAGTTACAATCAAAAAGGCATGACATTAATTTAAATGGCTAAACTTGGAACATTTTATACATGCGGCTATGTCTTAAATGAAGACCCTAAAATTGGCCCATGAAAAATAGTCCAGTAAGCCCAAAAGCAAGTAAAAACAAGTTTGGGCTGGGAAATGAGTCAAGGGCAACTTACCTAAAATACATCATATATAGAAAATATTTATCATTTATAGCTATTTAATTTTAATACATGTATAATTCACTTTTAATATATAGTGTAGATTTTAAAAATAGCTTTAAAATCTGTTGTGATTTTATCATTAAAGAGCTCGAACCTAATATGATATCTTGATAATCCGTCAATAAATAAAATTATCATATTTTTTTATTGTTTAGTAGTATAATTTATCCGTAATTAGTTTTTTTAAAACTAATATTATTATTATTATTATTATTATTATTATTATCTCTAGATCTTGTCTAGACCAAAAGATTAAGGAAATTAAAATAAAAAATGGATAGAGAAGAATGGGAGCTGTCCTGTCACAATTGGTTGAATTTCTAGGCAGCTATTGCGCAGTTTATGCATAAAACAACAAAACAAACAAATAAATAGCATAGTGGATCAAGTTGTTTTCATTAAATTTTCAAAATTTAAGTACAATTTATTTTTATTTTCCAAACCATGATAGTTTACTTTGAATAAATGAACTAAATACAAAAAAAAGTGTCTATTCCTGTCACTATTAGAAAAGTCCTTATTATATGAGGATTTTATTTTAGGAACTATCTCCAAAATTTTAATCTAAAATTCGTACATTCTAGAATATGTAATAGTTCAAGGCCGACATGTTTTTTCAAACCCGGACGAGCAACTATGTAGTTTACTTTCAATATATGAACACTCATCAATAGATATGTTGTAGCGGGTGAAACTGAATCTCTATTAATTAGAGCCTTGAATATGAAAGATATTGAATATCGAATAAAAACACGAATAAGTGTTAAAGGATATATGTTCCTATGATTATGAATCGCCAAATAAAAAGTTAAGGTTGAAAATATTTAAATAATATACTTATCCAATCATAACTTTGCATTTGCATCTTTGACGATAAATTGTCAATATTTTCGGTGATTTTTTCAAATTTTTTTGCCACGATCTATCAATACCACACATATTATAGTGTGTGCTAAAAACAGATATAAAATTAATTGAGAACCTTAATTAATATCAGTATTCACACTTTGACCCAAAAGAATAATATTATTGTTCTTCCTAGTAATTTTCTTTTTCCATATTGTGCTTCTAATATTGACTTCACACATATATTGATGAAAAACTTGAACATATATAGGCCACACAATCTCCTCTACAAAAGAGAAAAGTGATGACATTAGACTATCTAGTTATTCTGTCTCAAAATAATTATCATATTTTAAAGTTGCATTAGATCAAATTATATAAAAAAATACTACAAGTTGCAATTCAATTCATTTCATTTCATTATGATGATGAAAATATATTTTTTGTAGTATTGATGAAGGTTCATATAATTTGATTCTCAAAAAATAAAATATGACAAGTATTTTAGGACGAAAAAGTATTCAACTAGTTGCACAAATTAAATAAGTTAATTTTTTTTTTATGAAAACAACATTTTAGATTATTTATATTTTCCCATAAAATGGAATGAATGCATTGACTTGAAATGGTGAGCCCTAATTAATGAGATATAGTTTTGAATTTTGTGTACCTTAACGATGGAGCACGATGAGAAGTGTCTCATTATTTCAGAATGCCTTCTTCAATTGCTCGAAATTAATAACGGATTTAGAACTTAAAATTAATAATTTTTTATAATAATTTTAAATTAATATATAGTAATAACTAAATCAACCATAATATGCAAAAATAAAATAATATTATATTGTTATCATAGAATGGTGTACCACGTTACTAGGGTCATCTCAACAAGTTTGGGGGCCTAAAGCCAAACATTATAAAGAGACCCTATTTTTTTAAGTTGATAAATATAAATTGAATAATTATAATATACTAGTGTAATCCTACGCCTTCTAAGTCGAACATGTTGCATAGGGCTTGCCTAGTGCGTTTTACATCCCCGGTGTGGTTTGCAAGCTATGACATAGTGGGGGGTTTACCCAGTGCGCACAAAGTGTTCACCACAGAGTGTTCACCCGAATGACAGAGGTTGTGGCAGAGGTTGTAGCGACTGCGGGTTGTCCTAGGTTCCAAAAGAAAAAAGTTGGAATAATAAAACATGACTCAAAAATTTAAAAATATGATGATATTAAAATAGTGTAAGCGATGAATTTGATAAGTAAATAAATAATATTAAAATAGTGTTGATTAGTTTTAGTGCTTGAAATTTGAATAAGACACAAAAACAAATTTGATCTTCTTATAAACACACAACAATAGATATCACATAATGTAGAATGTTTGAACGTTTGAGAGACTTAAGAATATTCAATAATGAAAAAATAAAAAATAGTGAAAGGAGAATAAAGAAAAGTAAGTATAAGAACACAATACTGTTGATTCATGATAATCGTCAAAATATAAACGAGCTAGACAACAAAATAGATAGCCACATGCGAAACTAGAAAGGATACTATAATTAACTAGCCACATAAGAATCTAGAAAAGACACTACAATCAACTAAACAATATTCAATTTCTCAATTAATATTTTCTATACAAAAAAATATTTTCAAATTTATCAATACATGATTTTTTTTAACTATATATATATATATATATATATATACATACATCTTTGAGAGAAAATGGGGGCCCAAGCGATTGCTTTAGTGACCTTATGGTTGAGACGACCTGCACGTTACCATCTATATTACTTTATTAATCACGTTATTAACTCGAGCATAAAATATTGATCACAGGACCCCTGATGATAGCACTTGTTACTAAGGCTAATTTCTCATTAGCACATTATTAATATGTGAAATCACGGCTTAATTTTTCCTAATTTTAATTATTTATTATGCATGCATGTCATTCTCTACCATATATCATCCTGCTCTAGAGCCATAATTACTGTCTTTTAGTGTTAGGTAACTAAGTTTAATTTGCATATAAGAACATATGTAGTTATGTTAAAAAGATTAATTTAAATTATATAAAATGACAACATGAAATATAAAACTTTTATACTATTAATATAATTTACTGTTTTGACCGTTCATTATTTATCATATCTTGCATGTTGTAACAATATTTGTTACAAAAATATACTTGTAAGAATTAATCTTGATGGGATCCAGGTTTTGGCACAGGTCCAACATATTCAAGAACAACGTTCAAATAATTTAAGTCCCATGCATGTGGAAATAAAGGATAAATAATTTATTTTTGAGGAAGAAGATCATATGATATTAGACAACTAATAAAATCCACCAAAATAAAGATTTATAA